TTTATGTTATATATGAAAGATATGCCTAAGTAAGTTAAAAGAACAAATATAAAAGCTTTCTTAAGCAAGTATAAACAGTAAGAAATCACAGCTATAAATTTGTTATAGATAGAAGCTGTTATCACTTGGATTAGAATGTCACCCAGAGGTCCATGTGTTGAAGGCTTGACTTCTAGTTTGGGGTTATACTTTGGATTTCCAGTTTGGGGGTGATGGAAACTTAAGGATATTAGACCTAATTAGATGAAGTGCGTCAATGGGGACATACCTTAAAAAAATATTTAAGTCTTAAAGCCCCCACCCTTCAGAGTTTTGAAGTTAACACCTCTATGTCTGTCAACTGTTCCCTACAACGTTGTCTCATGATAGTTACAGGAGGTAGAGGAACTTAGAAAGAGCAGTCAAGTGGCTGTGGACCCATGGCTTCGTTCATTAGTGGAGCTTTGAGGAAGTGATTGTATCATGAGAACATGATCCCTCCGGGGACATTTTAGATACAAACCGTAAAACCCGATTCTTTGTCAAAACAAAGGAATGGGTTTGGAGAGGTCGTTCAGTAGTTAAGACCATTTGTTGCTCTTGCAGACGACCCAGGTTTTGTACCCAACACTGATGTGGTAGCTCACAACCATCTGTAACTCCTGTTCCAGGATATCTAATCCCCTGTTCTGACCTCTGAGTGCATCAGGGACACACATGGTACATATACATACATATAGGCAAAACATTCATACACATGAAATAAATTTTTAGAAGAAGAGGACAGCTGAAACATATTTGAATTCAGATTTAGATGAGGTCAAGGAAGGCTCTCTTTGTAATGGTAAAGACACTTCATTAATAACACAGGAAAGGAATGCCCATCCACTGAACAACATGGGGAGATGCCCTCTCAACACAGAGAAGCTAGAGATTTAATAAGTTAATAGAACAAAGAACAAAGATTCTAACACAAGCCGTGACACTTGGCTAAGTAAAATCAATTACATTATAGCTGTAATTATATGACTTTTCAGTAAGCCAAATACTTTAATCACTTAGTTACATCTTATAACTCTAATTATGTATTCTGCTTCAGTAATTAATAACTCAGAAGTGAAAAATAACTTCCACTCAATTACCCATGGGCATTTGTGTAAACTGACCCCATCACAGATCAAAGCCTTACAAGTTCCAAGCTGAAGTAATAGACTGACATTTACTAATTAAAACTTAGTAAAAGTGTAACTTTATTGCAAAATTAGAAGCAAATAATTTGTAAAATGTTATTTCTATCTGGAAAATAAAATAGAATAATTATTATATACCCTTAGGGGAAAAATAGATAAAATTGAAATTAAATAATTTATGTATTAAAAAGCTCAATACAGCTCAAGCAATGAGGAAAATATATAGTCTTAAATACATACCCCATGTTTTATGATTGCAGGAAAGTAATACACTGTTATCTGTTTTTTATTATCTACGGTGACTGCCCCTTTAAGCAATGGGTGTCCCAATTAGAGACTGTAACTCAGCTGCTCCCAGCAGCAGTTCCACTGCAAGGGCCACAGCCTGAGGGGACTCTGTTCCCTCAGGCAAGGACTCTTTCAAAGCCACTAAGGGAAACTTTATCTAAATTTAAAGAACTTGGGATTCTGGGAATTGAACTCAGGACCTCTGGAAGAGCAGTCAGTGTTCTTAACCTCTGAGCCATCTCTCCACCTGAGTTCAATTCCCAGCAACCACATGGTGGCTCACAACCACCTTCAATGAGATCTGGTGCCCTCTTCTGGCCTGCAGTCACATATGCTGTATACATAATAAATAAATGAATTAAAAAAAAAATAAAATAAAAAAACCCAAATCTCTTTAAAAAAAAAAAAAGAACTTGGGATTCTATGGTTAAGGTGGAATTCTGTTCTCTCAGAGAGGGTGAATAGCAAGTAGCTCACCTTCCCCCTTTGCTGGTGTCTTCCAAAAAAACCCAGCGTTCTTCTCTCAGCCTCCACTTAAAAAACCCCTGCTACCTGTGGTTCCTCCTTACCACTTCCTGTCAGCTACCTGCTGACTCAGCCTCCTGCTCGAAGGTTAATGTTATTTAATCAAACAGATCTTGGAATTGTTAGCCGAAGCAGTGGGAAAAAATTCAACACACTTTAAAATAATATTCCCCAATAATATACAACTCTAGAGTTAGAAAAATAGTTTTGGAAGAAGTGAATGATCTTTTAGGAAAACTGAAACTAATGTTAACAGAGACAGAAAGTTTAGCCCGATATAGCGAGGTTCACCTAAAATTCCAACATCCGAGAAACTGAGGCACAATGTGAGGCCACCTTGTGTTATATAGTGAATTCCATGTCAGCCTGGCAACACTGGCCAAATAAACAAAACAATGTTCTGTCACAAACAAAGAATGTTCCCCACACGTTCAAGTCCAAGATAATTCACAGGGGAAATCCACAATAGCTTCAAAGGCTAAATCACCTCTGTTTTACATAGTTTATTAAAAACCTAAAAACACAAAGAGCCTTTTAATTATTTTTAGGCCAAGTGTTACATTAATACATGTTTGTTTTGTGTGTGTGTAGGATTAAGTTAATTATTTCCTTAGAGTTATGAAAATCTATTTTGAAGTTAATATGGAAAATCAAGTATGGATGAAATATGACAGAGGAGCAAAAATCAGTTATTAAAACAAAGATATTAATCTTAGATCACTAAATAGCATAAAGTACATGAAAGGGTGGGTAAATAAATAGAGAGTGTGGAAGGCCATTGCTGGCCTGGATATTCTGTTCATGATGAGGAAGCATTTCAAATCTCTCATGTCAATAGACTTTTATAGAAGTGATGTTAATACAATAGGTAGACATTTAAAGGAAAGATAAGTGAATTAGATCCATAACTCACATCAAAATGAGTTCTCGTTAATCTAGATACATGAAGTGCCTTCCAATCAGAAACTCAAAATGTAGAGGCAACGTAAGACAAGATTGGTAAACCCAACTATAAAATATGGAAACTGCTTGTTAGTCACATCAGTGACCCAAAGGAAGACAACATCACCAGTAAAATAGAACTCACGGACAAATAGGAAAACATCACTGTTAGCAGTTACATCGAGACAGAGGGCTAATCTAAATAATAAATAAATAAATAAATAAATAAATAAATAAATAAATAAAACTTTAGAAATCAAGAAGAAAAAGAACATAAATAACATTAACAGGTAGATGATAGGAAAGAGATAAATGTAAAAAGAATCTTCATTTTCACAAGAAGAAACATACAAACTTAAAGTATGCAGATATCATATTTCATATGCAAGATTGTCAACCAAAATTTCACTAGGCTTAGAATGAGCATCCAGTTGATAAATCTGAGAACTAAAAAATTAATAATAATGGCAGTAATTATTATGTATTGAAAACTACAGAGAAATCCATTTTTCTTCATTTCTAAAATACCTGCCATAAATATTATGATTAATAAATGACCTCATTAAGCCAAAGAGTCCCATGTTTATCAAAACACACCATTATAGGAATGAAATGATGAGCTTCAACTAGAAGACGTTTGCTTTACACACAACTGGCAATGATTTGTGTCCCCAAACCTTCAAACCATATTTGAGAATATGGAGAGACGATTTCATCACTGCTCGTGGGAGTTTAAATTTCTACCCCTCCTTTGGGAAAACCATGACCTTATACACAATATAGTTTTCTTGCCTCTTTCACTCATTGCTACTCATGTAGCTTATGGAATTTAAGCCTGTTGATTTGTATTAGTTACTTTTCTGTTGCTATGCCTGGACCAAAAGCAACTTATGGAAGAGAGAGTTTATTGTGACTTACAGTTCCAGAGGGGGTACAGTTCATCCTGCAGAGGAAGGCATGGCCACAGGAGCGTGTGGGTTGGTCACATTTCATCCACATGCAGGAATCCGAGAGAGAGAGAAAGAGAAAAGGAGAAATGCAGAGAGGTGGGGTTTGAGACATGGGAAAGGGAGAGGAGAGCAAGAGAGAGTAATAAGAACTTGGACATAGCAGTTCTACTATTACTGTATCTAGTTTTCACAACTGGAGAGGTAGATATTGTTTTCCCAGGCCAGGAGCTCTGCTTGTCGGACATTTGCTCACATTAATCTGCCTAGGAATTAGCAGCACTGTTACAGTCGGAAGTCTGGACTCTCTCCTCTCCACCCTGCCATTTTAGGAAGACTGCAAACGGACCATACCATTATCTTGAGGAATTTAGGAAAACAAGAATGTTTTTGTTTTTTCTTTTGCTTCCTGCTCTCTCTTTCTCTCTCTCTCAATCTGTGTGTGTGTGTTACACGAGACTGATTTTCCCAACACAGTTAGAGGCTAGCACTCTAAGGAAAGGTTCCATTGGTCTGCATCAGAAGCCCATGGAAGTTTTCAGGGTGCAGGTCCTACCTATTACTGTTGCAATGTGACTCTTTTGTTGTTCTACTCAGGGATGACTGAAGAATTGTAAAGATTCCGTCGACCAGTGTGCTTGCCTTCATGTCAGCAGGGGCAAGACTGAAGGGTGTTTGGGATAGATAGAGTCTTTTATTAAAGGTAAATTTGCAGAGAAAGGAGAAAAGCAATTTCTCTACCTCAAGGGAAAAGAGTAGGAAAGCACTTGATATGTGACATAAATAAAATAATGGCAAAAGGTTTAGGAGATGTCTGCTTGGCAAATATCCAGCTCTATGTTAATCAGAGGAAAAAAAAAACACCCTACAAAATTTCCTATATTCACTGTTGAATTTTTTTTAAGAGATATTTTTGTACATACTCACTACATGTTCTACTTCTGTTTACCATTGGCTTCTGCCAAGTTGTGTATAAAGTTAAGTCTTTATTAATAAATCATACTTAAACCAGAACCGCAGCTAAGGAACTGCAGTTATGTTTCATGTTAGACTATTATTGCCAGCATCTAGTTGAATTACAGCCAGATGTGAGGTGGGATTTTTCACCTGTCTCAGAATTTTAGTTAAAATGTGCAAGTTGAAAGTGATGACAGTAGTGGAGGCTGTGGGTGTCCGAACTCTGAGGAGGATCCTGGATGAACCTGTTCAGATCTTGCCAAGAGGTAGCTGACGTAGTTCCTACCCTGATAATCCCCGCCTTAAATTTCCAGCTCAAATCAGAAAAGGCTTGAGATTCACTGTGAATCAGCTCACCAGACGTTAGATGCATACTTCAGAACCCGTGCGCTGCTGGGGCTTCATGGTACCCTTTCTCTCTGTCCAGTGCTACTACCTTCGTGTCCAGTATATTTATGGAGGCCCGTATTGCCTCTTTCTCTTCCCCTTTCTCCTCATCCCCCATCCTCCTCCTGCCTGCCCTCATCTTCTCTTTTAAGGTATAATTTTAAAATGTATATATTTGTTCTAGGTAAGGTGGCTTAACCCTATAATCCCAGGACTTAAGAGGATAAGAAAAGAGGATTGCCAGTTGAGGCCAACCTAGAGGACATAAGAAGAACCTGACTCAAAGCATGTATGTGTGTGTGTGTGTGTGTGTGTGTGTGTGTGTGTGTGTGTGTTATAGTAGATATATTTTGTGTATATATAGTATATAAATACATACATATTTAAATATATAATATGATGATTTGATATACACCATGAAATGATTACTACAATCAAAACAGTAAACCTGCCCATCACTGCATTTAACATTTTTCCTTCTTTCTTCCCTTTGTTCCTTCCTTATGTGTTTCCTTCCTTCCTTCTTTTTTATTTTTTGAGTCTTTAAAGGGAATTCATTATGCAGAAACTCTGTGGTGGTGGTTCCTTCCCCCTGTTATAGGGAGGAAGAATGGAATATTTCACTTTCCCTTCTAGTTGGGGGTTATTGCTACATTGTACCAACTTTATATCACTAACTCCTATTATTCAAACCCCTGCTACCTAGTAAGCATTCAGTGCATTTAGTTGAAGGAGAATAAATGAGTTCCCAGTCCACACAAATGCTCATGGAAATTGTAATTAATCTTTCATGATTTGGGGAAGAAGAAAAACAACAAACACGCATAAAGATTCAGCTGCAACCTTTTGAGAAATGCTAACGCTGCTCTAAGGCAGATTGAAAACAAACCAAAGCTGGAGTGGGAATGCACTCACCTTAAATTTTCCTTTCATAAAACCTCTTGAATATTTGTGCCAGGACATGTACTACTGTCTCTCAGACATACGGTGGCTAGATGGTAAGTAACCAGAACTATGATTTCTCAGGACAGCACACACACTTGCTGAACTTTGAATCTTGAACAGCTCCCAACAGCCCATAAGTGGAAGGCTTGCCGCTTCCCTTTGGTGATGTTGGGAGGCGGTGGAACTTTGGGGAGTCCAGGTGTAGTGAAAGCAATTTAGATCTTTGGCACAGTGACCTTGAAGGGGCCATTGGGATTCTCTGGCTATGTCCTTGTTTTCTGTGTGCTGTGAAATGAGGAGCTTCCTCTGCCCAGTGTCCACTGCCATGAAATACCACCTGGTCAAAGACCCAAAAGCAACAGGGACAACTGGCCATGGATAGAAACTTCCGAAATTATGAGCCAAAATAAATCATTCCACTTTTTCTGCACTTTCTAAAACAACAAAAGCTGACCAACACTAGCTCCCTGTGTCTCAAATTAACCACAAGTAAAATGCATTCCTCCAAGGAATCAAAATTCCTGCTTAATGTGTTCTATATTTCTCTTGATATTTTAAAAAAATTGGAAATTGACTTAAAAGGAAAAGTAACTAGATTTTTCTATCAATTTGTGTAATCCAGTGTTTGAAGTAGAAGTGTTCTGGTTAGGTCATGAACACATCATATTAGAAGGCTTAGTTTAAGAAAAAGAAACTCGGGCCGGGAAGCCCCGTTGGCCTGTGCGGCTCTTCCTTTCTGATCCACCATCTGTGAATGCAGGTGGAACCTCGGCCAAGACGCAGATTTTCGTGAAGACCCATACAGGGAAAACCATCACACTTGATATTGAACCCTCAGACACTATAGAAAGTGTAAAGGCCAAGATCCAGGATAAGGAAGGAATTCCTCCTGATCAGCAGAGGCTGATCTTTGCTGGTAAGCAGCTGGAAGATGGCCGTACTTTGTCTGACTACAATATTCAAAAGGAGTCCACCCTCCATCTTGTGTTGAGACTTCGTGGTGGTGCTAAGGAAAGGAAGAAGAAGTCTCACACCACTCCCAAGAAGAAAAAGCATAAGAGGAAGAAGGTTAAGTTGGCTGTACTAAAGTACTATAAGGTGGATGAAAATGGCAAAATTAGCCGTCTTCGTCGAGAGTGTCCTTCTGATGAGTGTGGTGCTGGAGTTTTCATGGCTAGCCACTTGGACACACATTACTGTGGCAAGTGTTGTCTGACTTACTGCTTCAACAAACCAGAAGACAAGTAGTTGTGTATGAATAAATAAAAAGACAGGAACTGAAAAAAAAGAAAAAAAAAAAAAGAAACTCAGGGCTGACCAGATGGCTAAGTGGATAAAGGCACTTGTCACACAGCCTGACATCTGAGCATCTGAGTTTGCTCCCTGGTATTCATGGTGGACAGAGAGAACCAAGTCCTGAACATTATCCTCTGACCGTACATACATGCTATGGTTTTTACATACACACACACACACACACACACACACACACACACACACACACACACACAGAGAGAGAGAGAGAGAGAGAGAGAGAGAGAGAGAGAGAGAGAGAGAGAGAGGGAGACAGAGAGACAGAGAGACAGAGAGACAGAGACAGAGACAGAGAGACAGAGAGACAGAGAGACAGAGACAGAGAATAATAAATAATCTTTTAAAAGTAAGGTGTGGGACTGTGATATGTGGCTTTAGCCAAGTGTCAACCTCAGACTTTTGAATATAAAACAACTATTAATAAAGAGAAGATTATAGGAAGTGATATTAGAAGTGTCAAACAGATGTTGGAAATGAAGACAGTCAATGAGGGCCTCCATAAATATAATGGACATGAAGGTAGTAGCACTGGACAGAGAGAGAAGGTACCATGAAACCTCAGCAACACACAGGTTCTGAAGTATGCATCTAAAGTCTGGTGAGCTGATGTCTGACAATCACAGGAAAACGGCTAGAACTTCATGACAACTTCATGGTAAGCACTGAATGCTCCCCTCTCCAGGACAGCATGCATTTGAATTTGCATGTTATCTGTAGCTGAGGCAGATGCCGAAGGACTAGCTCACCCAGATGATGCGACAAACTCGATTCTTAAGGTGAGATCTGGGTAGTCATCTATCTCTATGTTCACAGCACTCTTTCTCTTGTGATGGTTGTCTCAAGTTTCTCATAGACCTTTGAGCAATAGCTAGTCCAGGATTCCCAAGGGCTTCCCCTTTAAGAGGCTTTAGAGAAGAAGTTTAGTAATGTATTAACAGCACCAACTACTGCGGTTGGCCTTGTTACAATATTGTACTCATACTCTTCTTCTAAGGAAGTTGTTTTTAGATTCTGCTAGTCCTCAGATGGACCACCAATGCTGGTCTTCAAGATTTGTTTGGTAGGGTTATCTGAACCACACATTGAAGACTTTGAATTCTTTTGTCCATAGTTCCTCAGATTTTGATAGCTTGTCTCTTCAATTTAACATCACATTAGATAGAATCAGAGAGTATCATCAGCTACCAGCATGGAGAACGTCAATGTCAAACATATTCCTCCCTGTTAACACAGTTTGATATAAGTCCAGCTATCTTCTGTGATTACCTCCTGTTGTCAGGATGATGAATCCTCTCAGAGCCTGGCTGCACAGATGGGAGCCATAGCATGTGGTTCAGTAGAATTCCATTGCTAAACTTTGGAAGTTTGTGGACTAGATCTATACAGGCAGCTTGGAGTTTCAGTGACAGATGGGACAAAACCCCCAGTTGGTCATGAAGAAAAGTAGGGCATGCATGGTGGTACATGCCAATAATACTTGTGCTTGAGAGGCTGACACAAGGAGCTTACTGGTTCAAGGCCATCCTAGTTATAATGTTAGACCCTGTCACAAAACAAACAAACAAACAAAACCACAATTATGGTAGAGTAGAACCATTTTTTTTCTGTATAATGCTATTGAAAGACTCAATCTACACATATATCCTGAAATTTAAAGTCCTATCTTTATTGAATATTGTTTCTCATCTGTTTCTTAACTATATTCTTGCAGGCCAACCACTTCTGTTGGTGTTTGTATGATGGACCAACTTCTACACTTCCTTTGCTCTAAGGAGAGTTCTGGGTCCTTAGTGAGCTACTACACTGGAGAATCAAACACTTCAATCATCCTTGGATATTATAGTTGTGGTGTATTGTTGGTAAGAATGGTAATCCCCACCCATGATAGATATCTACCCCTGTTAGAATGAGAATTTACTCTCTTCAGGTCAAAAGAAAAACAAGGTAGTCAACTTGACATCACATGACTATCTTCTTCAGGAAAAGTTCTCTCTGGTGTTCTAGGATTGGTTTCTCTTTCTGGAAGATAGAACACCCAGTTGCAACAGTAGGAAAGGCATCTTTGGTCAGTAGAAGTCTGTAACATTGCTCTCATTTTGGTCACTGAATTGATTAAGCCCATCTGTCTGTGATGTCCATGCTGGCATGGCTAATGGCAGATCAATGGAAGACAATTGGCCAAAATGTACTTGCTATGTGGTAGACACTGTCTTGTAAGCTCTAATATGTAATATAAAACACATTCTTTAGCTCATTTGCATAGATACATTCCCATGCCTGCACGTCAATTTTTTTTTTTAAATCCATAATCTTTTAAACTTCTTTCAATCAAATCCAGGTATGTCTATTCAGGCAGCCAGTATTACCTTGAGCTCTCTATACAGCCTCACTTCTGTGTATACAAAGTGGGCTGCCAGATTTGTCAGGTGGATCCCTGTCTATTGGGGAGTCTTTTCTTTTCAGTCCCATAATCTTTCATGGCTTTTTCCCAAGTGACACTGCTATGCAATTTCAGCCATTTTCAGCTTAAACTCTTCATATCTCTGAAAATAGAAGGAATGTTTTATTTTTTTAAAAAATCTTCTGCTGACGAGTAAGTATGGACAGCAATGGTGGGCGTGGATCTAGTTTACCTAGTCATTTGGCTTGCATGGGCCTTTATATCTAGGTCATGGCAGGTTTGAGATATACTCTATCTTGAAATGAATTGCTCTTGGACTCACCTCACTTTATGATATAGTGAGTCTGTCGAATCAGATCAAATGTTACAGATTCATGAAACCCACTGTCGCTCTGTTTTTCCCACTGTCTGGGAGCATGCCAGGAAGAATTTCTCAAAGATACACAGTTCTTCCCTGCAGATGGAAGAGTTTCCTTTCAGAATTCCAAGTGTTTGTCCTGTGACCACTTACTTCACTAGAGAGTCCCAGATGATATATTTCATTCCTACTAATAGCCCCAGTATTACAAGGACTATAGATCATGTGGCCTAAGTGATAGGATTATCTTTACTGAAGTCTGGATCTACTGTAGAGGACTTTCCTTCTCTGGGATCTTCTCAAAGCTGGAAAACTTCCAATTCACCCATGTGTAAAAACAAAAAGCATATTAGACATTAGATTTTCTTGGTGGTAGAGTTGCAAAGTACAATATGTATTCTCAGCTTATGCATGATGTTCTTTCCATCTCTGAATATGGGATGCCTGGTTATTTTATTGATATGTTAGCTTGGCCCATGAACATTGGTATAGATAGTTGACACAATTTTTCTGGGGCCCACCCTGTGAAAATCTCTTCCAGGGTCCTGGGGAAGATGCTACATTTGGTGTGGGGTTATTTGAGGAAAAGGAATCTATGCACACCATGCTCTTTTGTCTGTTTACTTTATTTTTCTATAACACACTTCTATCTATACAGCTTCAGTCCCATTCTGACACTCAGTTCTTCTCTGTCCCTTCTTTTTCTGTCCCTTCGTAACCCTAGTAATAATTAAGCTCTTATGCTTTTGATCTCTTTTTCGCCCCCTGTTCCTTTGTTCTCCATCTTTCCTCCCTCTTCTCCTCTCCTGACCTGATTCACCTACAATCTACAAAAAATTCTTCCTTGTTCCTCACTCCTCAGCCTGAGCCATTCTGCCTTACCATCTACAAAGACTCTGCCTTCTTCCCTTCTCTCCGGCCACTGTTCTGCCTTGCCCAGGAATTCTGCTCCAGTCCATATTGCATCTGGTTATGCAAAAAGCCCTGTTGTCCTCAGTCACTAGCTCTGCAATGCTAGTAGGCCTGAAGGTAAGGGATGGTCTGAGCTTCATTTGCACAAGAAACAAAGCTATGTATCTACAGTTTGCCTGTCTCCTAGACTCTGCAGGGTTGTTACCTAGTGGATCAGCAGTAGATCTGAGAAGCTAAACCGTTTGCCATATGGCATAGTAGTATAAGAACACACAAGAATTTCATCGCAGAAGACAGCTGATATATATTAAAAGCTAAATAACACCAATTATTCCTTGATAAATGGCTTCCTCTTGAAGGTCTCCTTGGTCAATCAAGGTATAGCTTATTATATATAGCTGAATCTCTGTAATACATTCTTGCAGCCCACTGTAGATAGTTACCTCTTACTTTATAGAGTGTGCTTTAGTTATTTTAGGGCCTCTAGTTTTCTAGCCACTACTTACACATCAACCCAATTCATACAGTGTTATCAATGATATGAATCACTGTGAAGTGTTATAGGATTTCCAGCTGGTCAAGATCTCTTAGGTTATTTGTAATTTGCAAAGTTAACAGAACTCTGAAAGAAAATTGAAAATTGTAAATACCTAATTTTGCCCATTCTATATAAATGTTTCTGTTTTATCTAGTCTGAGTACAAAATAAGACATTTACCAAACCTCTACACTAGTACTTGAGGCCAAATTTAAAAAGGACACCACTACATCTGGCACAGCAGCTGCAAACAGCTAGCTGTGTAGTACAATGCGTGGAAATATACAATCACCTTCAGATTCCATCTGTCCTTGTAGAAGCCAGATTGATGGCTTGATTTAGGATATGATGGGGACCACACTTCTTCCTTTACCTACTCAAGCTCCTTCAAATGGAGTGATTATTAATTACTCAGGAGAATGAACCGAACTGCTGTTTTGGTGGTTTGCATTTTCCTTGCTAAGAAATTCCTTTGCTATAGGTGTCAAATGTCTTGTTTGAGGGCAGCTAATTATGCTCTCAAGTCATTGTAGACAATGACTACAGAAACTATAGACCTGCTAAAAACTAAACCTAGGCTCAGAAGCCAACTACTTGGTTCTATACCCCCTTCTAATAGAAAATGCAGTAAGGTGTGACATTGGGGGTAGAATTCTCTGTTCCATGAGTAATTGCAACACAGAATTTGTTTCCAGTTGATAGTATATTATTTTCAAATATGTTTTACTAATCTAGTTTTTATCATTACCAATTATATCTA